GGCTTGTTTTACAACGTCGTTGCCAAGCGACGAAAACCCAACCCCGATGGCAAACACCGGGGGGGGCGGGGGGAGGGGGGGGGCGTACTTTTATGTTTTTCATGCCTTAGCGGTTAGACCATTGACCACGCGTCGTCGAGAGGACGGAGCATTGTTCCCAGGGATGTGGGGTGTGGGGTGTGGGGGGTAGTCGCGCATGCCGTAGTCGGTAGTAGAACATTGACCTCGCAGGAAGGGTAACAAAGAAACACGGAGTTGTGAACGAACCAAAAGAAACGCTTTACCGTGCCGTCAATCATGGATGAGTGCCAACCCAACAGTCCATAGGAGATCCCAGCCGCGGGTTCTCAAAACCCACAGTCACCTTGGTGAGGGGGGGGGGGCGAGAAGGGACTTGGAAATACTCGCCGCCCGCCCGTTCTCTGCAGGGCTTGATGGCAGGGGCGACTCGACCAACCTTCCCACAAACTTCTTCAGCCCTTCCACGTCAAAACTTTTTTCCTCCGCACTGCAAACCTCGAGAGTGGACTTGTTCATGTCTTGTGTCACCAAACGTTAACATTCACAGAAATAAAACAAAACCAGTGTTGTTGTAGGCCTTTAGCTTCACTCTTGAACCGCCAGCGTGTACATGCTCCTTCTTTTTGCAGTCTTACCCCCGAACCGCCAGCGTGCACATGTTACCTCCTCCAAAACAAGAAAGTACCTCCGCGCGCGCGTCTGGAGTCCTCACCAAATACCATGCATACATCGAAATATCCTCCGAGGAACAGAACACCTTAGAACAACACTAAACATACAAGGTCTCCGTTCGGGACGTGGTATCAAGCCTCCCGCGAGTGACTGCCCGAGCAGGGTTGCGTGTCGTATTGATGGGGCCAACATGGCGCTCGCAATCCGTACCAAAACACTGCGCACGTATACTGAAGCCAGTTCGAGTGGACAACAGCGAGGATTCATATATACGGGCCAGATGCTGGTTCGGCGATTTGAGCTCTTGCACAAATTGCTGTGTATAAGTCAGTGGCACGTCTTACCCTTGCCCTTCCCGGCCCGCCGCGGCACCGGGTCGGCCAATCGGCGGACGGCCGCCTCCGACATGCTCCTCGCGCCTCCCGGGAAGATCCGCCGCGTCGAGACCCGCTTCGGCGCCGACCTCGTGCTCGCCCTTCCCCCGGCCCTCCCGCTGTTGAGGTCGCGGTCCACCCTGAAATCGAACCCGTCGCGGGGGTCCGAGTCCCACGAGCCCCCCCGGCAGCGAAACATGGACGGGCCTTGTTCTTTCCGCCCGCCGCCGCCGCTGCTGCCGCCGCCGACACGCCCTGCCCTCCAAGGGAAGCGGCCTTGTCCGTTGCCTCCTCCGGCAGCGGCATCCCGATCCCACCCCGCCACTTCTATCAGGGGAGTGCCCCCGGCGTCGCTGCCGCTCCGTCCGCGCGTCGACGACCAGCCACGGCCGTCGCCGCCGGCGTCAACGCCGTCGGCGGCGACGGCAGCGGCGACGGCGCTCCCAGTGCTGCCGTTGTTGAGGTAGCCCTTCCACGTCCAAGTGGGCGGGGTTCCCCCGCCCCCGCCACCGGTGGCCGCGGCCGCGGCCGCAACATTGGAGGCATTGGACTCGGAGCTGGCTCGCTTGCTCCGCATCTTCCCGCCGCCGCCGCCGCCGCCGCCGCCGCCACCGCCGCCTGCAGACCCCGGGTACCCGTCGCTATACCGGCTGCTGCTCGCCGGCGTGGTCGTCGAGGTTGTCACCGCCGCCAGTGACCCCAGGCCGGACTCGCTCCTTCGACGGCGCACGTTCGCACAAGGCCGCGGGGCCGGGGTGGACGCGCAGGACCCACTACCGCCACCGCCGCCGCCCGTACCGCCGCCGCCGCGCCCCCTGCTCGCAGACCTCGGCTGCGGCCTCTCCGTGCGCGGAGGGGTCCCCACGCTGTAGTCGTGCTTGCGGTCGGGGGATGCGCCGCGGCCACCGCCGCCGTCTGCGCCGCTAGGAGCGAGCATCGCGGGGTGGTGCTGGGCAAGGACAGGCGGGCGGCGGGACTCCTCGCTAAGGTTGCGGCTGGCAGGTGCTCCAGTCTCGCGCACTCGCCCCATGCTGGGCACGCTGGCCGTGCTGCTCATCATGCCACCGTGGCCCTCCACTGCTGCGCCATTGTTGTTACCGCCGCTCACGCCTGTTGCCGATAACGGCGCTTGCTTCTCGGGGGCCGACGCGTTCCGGCGTTGCTGCCGACGGCTCAGTCGCCGTGGGGGCGTGGGCGGGACCCGCGCCACGGTCAACACGTGACAGGCGCACGAACAGCACGTTTTCCCGGTCGATGCTGTCTCTGTCGCTGCTGCCGGGGCGGGGAAAGGCGCCTGCTGGTCGGCCGCGGCCGCTGCGCCCGTTGCTGTCTCTGTCGCCGCTGGCGCCGCTGGCGCCGCTGGCGCCGCTGGCGCTTCTTCTCGATCGTCTTCCTCCGCCGATGCTGCCGGGGGTGCACTTACGATGGGCACGTGCTTCTTCTGCACGACGACTTCTGGCGAAAGCCTCTTCTGCACGACGGCTTCTGGCGAAGGCCGGTCGGCAGCCGCATTATGTCCGTCATCCACGCGTCCGGCGCCGTCGCCTTCGGGGTCAGCTGTCCGGGCGGGCGTTTCCTCCTCGGCATCGTCCAAGTCTCCGTCTCCTGGTGGCGGCAGAGCGCGGGCGCCCGACTGCTTCTGTGTGTCGGGAACGGCGTTCCCCACCTCCTCCTCCTGCTCCTTCTCCTCGACGGAGATCATAGCATTCAAGCCGCGGCTGTCGCCATCGTCGTCGCCATCGGCGGTGGCGACGGCGGCAACAACTTCTTCGTGATTGTGGTCGCCTTGGACCAGCCCGTCTGCAACCATTGGCCTCCCTGCTTCCTTGTCCTCCTCCTCCTCCTCCGCCTCTTCAGCATTTTTGTGGGTCGGTCTTTCACCGTCCACCGGCCCTGCCACCTCCAAGTCTTGGTCCGCTTGGTCCTCCTCTCCCTGAGCGGTCGACACCGCAGCTCCCGGTTCAGGGGAACGATCCTCGCTCTCCTCGCCAAGACTCGCATCACCGTCACCGACGGCCGCACCCCCGCCGCCTCCTACACCACCCCACGAACCCAGCGCGTTCACGCTCCCCACCCCCCCTCCCCAGGCGCCTGACCGTTCGTCCGTCCGTCTGACCATCGAGGGCGGCCACATGAACAGCCCCTGCCCTCCAAAGAAGGAAGTGCTGCCGCCGCCCAACTGCGGCGCGAAACGCCCGACCGACGTCTCCAACCCCCCCACGGGGGAATTGCTGTTGCGTGGCGTGGCACCGCTATCGTCGCCGTTGCCAGCGCTCCCTTCATCATGTTCCGCCGTCGCCACCGTCGAGGAGGCGGCGTCGTCTCCCCTCCTCGCCGCCGTCCCGCCGCCCCTACCCTCGTAGCAGTTCCGCCAGTCCAGTGCCATGCCATGGTGGTGGAATGCCGCGGCGGCGGCCGTGGGCAGGGCGGGCGGTGGCCCGGGGTTAGTCTGGCGTGGTCGCGGAGACGACGGGGAGATGAAATACCCCGGTGCAACGGCTCGCGGCTGCCTCAGCGCCGTGAACGCAGCCGCCGCCGCCCGCTGCTGCGCTCGTAGTTGAGCGGGCATTCGCGCGGGCCGGTAGGCCATGTCCAAGATGTCGGCGAAGTCCTGTTTTTTCAGTGCGATCGCGACCAGAGGGGAAGACAAGCATCTGATTCAGGCCTTGAAGTTGATTGACGTGTGCCCCACAAGCGCGCTCGGTACGCTACCAACGGGGTTTCATACACGGGCGGACAGACCGTCAAGAGGGTGGGGTAACGGAATCCAAACCAACACGACTCTTGAAAACAATGTAACATCCAAACTTGTTCCGCAACAAATACTTGAGACGACATAACGCTGCTACTATTTCAACTTATCCCGCAATAAAAAGCTGAGACGATATAACGCTACTGCATTAAACTTATCCCGCACAAAATAGATGAGACTAGGTGAACAATGCTGCTGCTACTGAGCATTGCGGGACATGCGACGTAGGCGACTCTTCCTCCCCACCTGGTCATCCACCCGGACGTCCAGGCTGTCGAAGCTCGAGCACGACATCCTCTCGTCCGCGTCGTTAACGGCGAGCTCCCTCCTCCCCTCCCGCCGCCTCGAAACGGGGGGGGGTCGCGGAGACGACCTCGACCCCACCAGCGATGGCGACCGAACGCCTTCGCTACTACCGGAAGAGCCAATCCCCGCCGCAGAGCGGGGCATTATCGCGGCCCCGCCGACCGCAGCGGAGCCGCCGGTACCCGCACCGGCATCCGGGGGTATCGTGGGCTCCGGCGGGCCTGCCGCCATGGCCGGGATCTTCCAGAGCGGGTGGGCGGTCGCCTGTTCGGGAGACGGCCACCGTCTCGCCGAGAGCGGCGCATCCGGGATCCCCGCCGCCGCCGTTCGCGATATGGTTGCTACTACTGCTGCACCTGGGCGACACTCCGTCTTCGCATCGGCAATAGTCGTACCGCCAGCCACCGCTGGCGCTGCTGCCGTGCGTTTCACGGTTGCTGCAGCACCCCGGTTATTCGCCAGAGGCGGCGGAGGCTGCTGTGTCGACGATTTCCTGCCGCTGGGCGGCGGGGGCGGCGGCTTGCACTGTGCCAAGGCGGCTTCTACCGTGTCCAGGACGAGGGCGTGGGCTAGACCTCGAAGCTTGGCCTTCCGCCTGAGGTCCAGGGGACTGACGAACCCGTCGTCGTTGCCGCTGGAGGAGACGGGCGCCACGCTGGCGGGTGGTCTCGCCGCCGCGGTTCTTGTGCTCGGGCTGATATGGATCACGCGAAGGGAAGAGGGGGGGAAAGGCGGAGGGGGAAAGGGAGGTAGAGAGCAAGAGAAACAAATAAGTGAACAAGCAAGAAGGTGTGTCAATGAGGGAGTTACCACGGTAGTTATAGGAGTCTTACCAGGTTGTGTTTGTCGGAGCAGAAACGATTGATAGGGGGAGATAGACAGAGCAAGGGTTCCCAAGGTAACGCGTGTTGATGTCCTGCTCAAGCAGAAAAAGTAGTCAACGCCTTGATGAAGTGCTCGACAAAAGGCGGACCGGAACCACAGTGAAAGACAACCAGGGGGAGAGACGTCAATCAAACGGCGGCGAGAAGAGCAACAAACGGAGAAGAAGAGAAACACAAAAAAAGACACTCACATCGTTCGGCCGACCTCTGTCCTCCACCGCAGCTTCTTCACCACGCCTCGCTGCTCTTCCTCATCGTCAAGGGACTCGTCCCCTTCTCCCTCCCTGGCCCCCACCTGAACACGCGTCGCTCGCTTTGCCCCCGTCACAATCGTGCCACCTCCTGACGAGTCGCTGGAAAGCCCACCGTCGCTCGGCGCAACAAGAACAACCGCTCCCCCCCCACGGCGGACCCGTTCCCCTCCTTCGGGACCCGTTCGCCGTCCTGCCCCGGCACGCAAACAAGACCCGACAGTTGCTGCGGCGGCAGCTCCCGGCTCGACTGTCGTTACGGTCCAAGCGGTGCCGCCGCCACCGCCGCGCTTTTTCTTGGGCTTCTTCTTCTTCTTCCTACCTCCGCGTGGCCTCGTTCCGACTCCAGCCCCGTCGAGCACTCCGCCTCCTGCTGCACCAACTCCTTCTCGCCTGCGAGACGGGGATGCTTGACGGGTCCCGCCTCCCTTCGTGGCTGCGGCTGCGGCTGCCGCGGTCACCGCCGAGGATTCTGCCTCTTGAAGTATGAGGTCCGAGAGGTCCTTCGCGGCTCTGGGTGGCGGGAGCGAGCGAGTGCATGGGTGCAAACAAGTACATACGAGACAGGGGGAGGGGGGCAGTCGTCCGGTGCGGATTTCGGGGGCCAAAAATAGCAAAGAGTTACACACCGTCAGGGTTGATGCCCCGATGCACTTCGCTGGTGCTCTTGGCAACCAGAACGAAAGTATCGTGTGATGCTGTTGGTGGTGGTATTGTTGCCTTCATATAGAACAACGTTGCATCTCTGCTCAGTACTTCCCAACATCCGTACTGGTACGACTGACGCGGACACCGTCCGTGGTTACACCACCCCGAAATGGTTGGCACACACTTCCCAAGAAAAAAAAAAAAAGGCTGCCACCGCCAGATATACGTCCCGATACATGCAAAAGGAATTGACTTTGGTTTTCGGAAAAATCACCTAGCCGCTGCCATCTCTCGAAGGCTGGACCCGACGCCGCTCCGCAGGGCCCCCGCCATGGTCCCGACGTCGCGTAGGGGGGCCAGCAACGCCCTCTCCGCCAACGTCCTCGGCGTCAACGCCTCAACCGCATCCTCCATGATCAACGGCGCCTCCACACCACTGGCCCCCTCGCCGACAACAGCGGCGGAGGCGGGGCTGGCGTCATCTGACAAAGCCAACTTCTTTCCCGTAGCACTTGGGCTGCTGCTACTGTTGCTGCTCTGCTGCGCGGTCGTGCCCTGCCCCCCTTCCGTCGAACCCAGGCCGCCGCCGGCCACCGTTGCCACACGAACAACGCCACCACCAGCAGTAGCGGCAGCATCGCTGTCGTCTTCCTCCGATGAGACGTTGGCGGTAGCGGCAGACGCCTCCGAGGACCTCGATTCGAGGTTGCTGCGAGAGAGCCTAACACGCCGATCGCTCCCCAATTCCGTCGCCTTGAGGGGGGGGCGCCAAACAGAGAGGCCGCTGGGGGCCGCCTTGACGAGGGCCTTGAGGAATAGGAGGGCATCTGGCGCCCGCCCTCTCACCCAGTCCATGTCTTCGTACCTAGGATTCCAGGGATCGTTGGGGGGCCACGGGAAGGGGTAAGAGGAATACTGCCGAGTCGTGGTGCTGGGTACGTTAACGAGTAACGTAAGTGGGTTCAGAAGTGATGGCCGATGGCCCTTCGTCTGGGCTGAAAGGGGATAAGGTACAGCGGCCGTGGTGCCTACCGCGGGGGCGCAACCGCTCTACTTGGTTAGTAGTTTCAACGTGGGACCCTTTGCTCCCCATCAGAGGCGTCATCAACCGCCCCCCGTCCATGCCAGCGGTGCGGTTAAACGGTATAGGACAACAACCACAGCAGCAGCAGCAGCAGCAGCATCAAACAGTGCCGGCTTGTCAGGTACGCGCTACGACGATCATATCTGTCGGACACGGTTTTCCCACGGCTTTACTCCTATCGGGATACAGTGATGGTCCCGATATACCGCGGTTTAATGACAAGCAAAAAACAACCGCGGTATACCGTGACACCGCGCTATCGAGTGCTCCGGAATATATTGATTTAAGTATGGTAGCCACATTCCGTGATAAGCAATATTTACCGCGGTTTATCGGGAACCGCACTACTCGGTACCACGGTGCGGTATCTCGGGATCCACTGTATCTGGTTAATACCGCTGTAACGCCTCGCTCTTCTTTTGGTCCGGGCTTCGTCGCTCATCCGCACACCGACCTTCAGTCCTCCACCCGCCATGTGGGGTACCTACCTTTTGCGTGGCGGAACCCCTCCCTGCGGCCTGCCCCCAAGAAACCCGCTCTTGTACATGACCATCTCGACGGTGTCTCGCCTTTCGCGGAGCAGACGAGTCACCTGATATTTTTCGTTTCCAGGACACGTTAGTTGTACACGCACGGTGGCTTGAACAGCATGCTTAGAGAGAAGCTGATAAGTGAATCCCCAGACACGCACAGGGAAGCTTGAACAGCACGCTCAGAGCAAAATTATTTGAGTGTATTCCGCACGAGCTAAGCTTGAACAGCACGCTCAGAGCAAACGTATTTGAGTGTATTCCGTGCGAGCTAAGCTTGATCCGGTCGTTCTCGACACCACGAAGAATAGAGCGACCTCGCCGCCCTTCCCCACCTATCGTCTAATGACTACCGCATGCGTTTACATCAGCACACTCTCCACCCCTCCCCACAAAAAGAAACGCAGGAACCGTGGAGACCTCCAACAGCAGTGAAACGAACCGCATTCGAAAAGAAAGCCTCGTCGAAAAAATGAACAGAACACACACTCCCCATCCTCGAAGGTAACGCGGCCATCAGGTGCGGGTAAAGCCACATACCGCGCTCTCACCCACGCCTGGATTATTCCCAAAACTAAACGCCCTTTGCAAACCACGACTGCTACGGCTACCTCCACCACAGCTCTGTGCAGTTTAGCAGATGGCTAGAAACACAAATTGGCGTAAAAAAAAATGTGAGCACACTTGAGACATAGCAACGAAGATATGGAGGTGCATGCCGAGCAAAGCAATTGTGAGCACACCGAGAGAAAAGCAAGAAAGGGGTGCAAACCGAACAAATCTTGTGAGCAAGCACACTTTGCCGTAAAGCGGCGGGTTTCTCTCACTGATTGAGCCGCGCTCGCGGCGAGGGTTTGCTGCGTCTCGTAGCCCCCCAGGGGGTCCAGGAAACACCGTAGCGATTCCTTGGCCTCTAGTAGCTCGGACGCGCCGTCTTTTCCCCCGCGGTAAGGCCAGAGACGACGATGACGACGACGATAGGACCAGGCAAAACAGACACACGCGGTCGAGGGAAGCAGCGTCACGAGGGGCGCGTCAACAACAACAGGGGATAACGTAAAGGCAACGTCGATAGAAGGGGGGTTGCTATTGTGCTGTTGGATCCCGGCGAATCACGCCGTTGTCGGGGGGGGGGGGGGGGGGTCCC